GTTGTTGTTGTTCCGCAAACCCCAAAACACTTAATGTACTGCAACGTTTCTCACACCCTCCGAAAGCCCCAATAACAATTGGGGGGCCAACTGGCCGGGGGGTTTGACAGACCCCTCATGCCCTGGGGAAGAAGAGAGTGTGTATGCACGGGGGCTGACTTTGTCGCGACTCGTCTTGAACCCTTACATCGGCCTGAGCCTCAGAGTGCTTTTGCATTGTGTCTTTGCTGGTGCGGTCTTTCAAACTCTAAAGTACAACAAGAGGGTGCATCCAGCAAACAGCCCATGTATAGCCGAGCCACGGAAGGGAGACCTCCCTTAGTGGAACTTCAAAACCCTGCAATGAACTGCGGGTGCGCGTGCGCTCGCGGAGGGGGTAGCTGGACCGCTGCCTTCTCCTGGCCCTGTAGAGAGAGAGAGAAAGAGAGAGAGAGAGAGAGAGAGAGAGAGAGAGAGAGAGAGAGAGAGAGTGTGTGTGTGTGTGTGTGTATGTATGCACAAAGCAAAGCAAAGCAATGTATGCACATGGGAGGGATCTCCATGGGCCGTTGGTGAAGTTCTGCCGAGGCGGCAAAGTCGCAAGTGATTTCGATCGACTTGCTCGCGTCAACAGCGCCGCCGCCTCGACCGCCTCCTCAACCAGGTGAATTGGGCAATGGGCTCTAGACGGGATGGCAGATGGCACGACTGTAGCACACTACGTAGAGTCCTGTGACCCTCTGTGAGATGTTGCTGGGTCTTACGGCTCACTGGGGTTCGTCAACCCTGACACCAACATGCCATGCTTCAACCCAAGCGAGACACACCGAGACTGAGATTTTGGACATGTCAGGATTTTTCTCCTACTTCTTTACCTTGCAGAGTTGTGGCTGCAAGCCGGAGGCAGGAACCTGATCATCCCACTTGAGCTGACAGCTCGCATATTTGACTGTGACTGGCTACTTAGATTCTAGGTTGGCGGCGATGAGACAGCTTCTGCACCCCGGAATGCAGTTTTATGTTTTTGTTCTGGGCATCCCTGCCTCAGTAGTGGATCGGAAGATGGTGCGAGCAATGATGTGTTCTTCACGTCCGCTGATGTGATTCAGGACCAAGTGAAGCAGACAACCTGACCACTGCCGTGTTTCTGCAGTACTTTGCGATCAGAGGCGTGCCGGTGTAGCCAAAGGCATTGCGGGTAGACGTGGACGAATCTTGAAATTGACTTCGCAGGCCGGCACAGGCTGAGTCGGCAGGTTGCCAGTGCACTGTAGCCTGGCTTTTCGTACGGCTTTCACTGAAACACCTGTGAAGCTGCCCGAGTTTTCTCAGTTGCGCAGATTGGCGCTTCTGAAAAATTTTCTCCAAGAGGCTTAACTCTGGCTAAAAAGCCCCCCTGCTTCCAGGGGGCCCAGGCTAACGAAGCTGCAGAGATCCTGTAAACGCAGTACGTCGTAAACCAGAAGGTGCTAGCACACAGAACTCCCTACCAGTAGGTGCATATTATGCTGTTCATGCGTGGGTGCTCGTGCAAGCTGTCATGACTTTTCAATTCGAGCAGATTTGGACGACAGTTTCACATGTGACATGAGCTGTCGGAACCTGAGCAGGATAATTCAGGTCGGCGAGACCAACCCTGTGTTTACAAGTGTCGACTTCAAGCGAGCAGTGCGCCAGGTTTCCATTTACTGTATTGTAAAGCCCTCCAGCATTCAACCTGAGCGCACCTCGGCAAGTCTTGCATGGTTAAGCCCCTCCGACTTTACGTTTGGTCCAGCATCCAAGATGTCAAGGTCCAACAGGGCATAGTACATAGCACAGATACCCGGCTCTTTCGACGCTCTCCCACGAGGGTGAAATGCATGTTCCGAGTCACCGCGCAGAGGTCCTCAGGCCCGGTACCTTCGATGTTCCAAGATGCTGATGCTAGTATGCCCAGAGCCGAGGCGCCGTGGCCTGCTCTCGCGAAGTGCGCTCCACGTCTTGCTGATAGGCCGGGATTGCAGATGCCTTTTGGAAGACACGGCCCTGTCCCACAGCATGGCATTCTTGACCATGTGACAGAGGTTCAAAAGTTCTGCAAGATGCCAGGTGCGCTTGCGAAAGCACCGGACAGCTCGAAGAGCTCTCAGGTAGCAAACCTGCTGAAGGAGATGCACTATATGCAATGTTGCTGAGCTGCATTGCCTTCTCGCTGCTCCCAATCGTAGGCCTCTGCTTATCTGACGACTAAGGCTTTAGACTTAGTTCGTTATCCGCAGCTGGCACGCTTCACATGCTTGCAGGAGCACCCGGAGTGTGCTTGCAGCTCAGCATCTAGACACGTCGGAAAAGAGCTTAACGGCGTTAGATTGTCGTCAGCTCGAGCTCAGCCGATTAGTGTCTGACAACAAACGAAGTATTGCTGTGAGCTCCCCTTGCGTTGTATTTTGGCATGTCTGTGCAGAGGTGCATCCTTAGACCCTCAGATCAAGCATTGAGGACCCCTGCGTTGCTGATGCCAATGGCTGGACGCCGCTGCATCATGCCGCGGCGCATGGCTGCCATGCGGAACTTAAGCTCCTCATCGCCCAGGAGCGCTCTCGGTATGCACGACATCCGTGATCTGTGTGACTGTGTGGGGTCGGGTCTAGAGCAGCGCGCAGCGAGGCAGCAACAGGGGGAACATTTTGATGTAAAGCTAAGAACATGGGCTAAGAACCGTTGTTATAGCTCCTGAGAGAATCTGTCCGGCCGCCAAGAGCATGGGTCATCACTGGTTTGGAGCGCAGTTTCTGAGAGTGCAGGCGAAGAGGCTCCATCCAAAGATTTGGCAGGCTGACAAGTCGGGCAAGGAGAGGGCCTCAGGGGAGATGTCTGAGATGTCAAATTTAGCCAAGCGCAGCCGAAGTAGTGCCCAGTGCCGGTCTCGATGCGATCTCTCACCACACTAAAATATGCGACGGCATTTGACATACTGTATACAGCCGGCTTCGGCCGGCGGCATTAAAGCTTGCCGTGCCATCATATGTATATAGATAGATAGATAGATAGCCCTGCTAGAGTCTGCCAGAGGTTATAAAGGGACCACTCCTCAAATCGCATCGAACCCTTTCAAAAAGGAGCATGCCCAAATGCTCCCAGAGAGCAGTTCAATTGGATTACCCACCACGCAGGTTTCAAGCTTTCGCCAAACCACATCAGGAGATTTTGAAAGCCCAAGGGTCCAAGGATTCCAAGGAGCCTGCCAAGCCGCGTCCCTCCTGAGCCTAAACCCTCAAAGGAAGCCGTTGAGGGAAACCACAGGGTACATGGACCCTCAGGCTACGATATGTCGGAACATATGTCCGGTCAAGCCCCTGAGTAAAGTTTTTGGAGGGCCGTAATCTTGTGGGACGACGAGGCTTCAGCGCTGTCTCCCGTGCAGTCGCACTTCGGTGATGCGTGTTTTTTCGGGAACTCACGAAAAAACACAATTGAATCAAGTCCCGAAGCCTCAAAACTTGTCCAAGGAACCCCAAACACGCAGACTGTACAACACGTTGCATGAAGCATGTCCCTCCGCGCACTCCTTTGCCAGCGTGCAGGAGAACTTGGTGCGCAACCGAATGCCCGGAACAAAAAAGAAGGAGGCCGAGCTTGTTGCACAGGCTGTAGCAACCATCCACCTTGGAAGGGCCTGGGACTTGGGAGGCAAGGACCTCTGCTTCCACTTCCAGATCCAGCAAGACCAAGCTTGGAGGGTTCGGGTCTCACAAGAGAAGCGGGGGCGACTCGACCAGACAAGCAAGCATAATTCCAGTCTTGCATCGTGCCAAGATTCCCATGCTGTGAAGCTGCATCATCCCTGCATCTCATGTCATAGTCTCTGCAGAGAAATATCTACAGGTCTCCGTCTGAGTGGCGCCCACTCAGCGGATCCGCCGAGGCGTGTTTCGCCAGGAGTCCTTTCAGTGCAAGCCTTCCCCATGCCACAAGAGTGCCACTTAGTCAAAGGCTCTTCTTCTGGTGTATGCTCCTGATCGGCAGGTTGCCAGCTACCCGTCGCACTGTTGGACGGACAGTTCCGTGCAGGCATGGAGGCTTTGGGAAACATTTGGAACAGGAAGCGTGAAAGCCAGGTGGGCAGTCCGCTGTCGGCTCTGATGGGCCGGACACCGACACACCTCGCTGCGCAGGGTGCTGGCAGAGAGGCACAGAGACATCCCCACTGCTACTGTCCTCCAAGTGCTCCTGCTTGGCCTCGCTGGTGCAGAAACACGACGACTCCGACATAACCTTGTCCATCCGAAATCTCCCAGCACCGCCATTCAGGCATCGGCGCTGCTTGCAGACACTGGGCACATCCAGTGCTTGAACGTGTTGTTGGAGGCCGGCTACGGAGCAGTCTCGGTGAAGCTGTCCCTAACCCAGCCTGGTTGCTTGCAGACTGGCTTCTTGGAGATCGCTGAGCTGGATGACCGCGGAATGTTTGAACCCCAGAAATGCTCCCCCAGAGCATTCAGAATGTGTCCTGCGGATTCCGCGAAGAGAAAGTTGTTTCTGAGCAGGGTCTCGAGTCCTGTCACGTATGAAGCATATTTATATGTGTGTATATATATATGTAATTATATATATATAATAGAACTATAGTATAACATAACATATATATATATATGGAGAGACAGAGAGAGAGTATAATAATATATAATATGTGGCTTTCCGGATAGAGCCAGCTCCAGGAGGCAGCAAAAGCGTGCTTCGGAATCTCAGCTACAGAAGCTGAGGTCCCCTCTTCTGGCTGCTTGTGCTGCAGGCTCTGCTGCAGGGGCCAGGCGAGGGCCCAGGAAAAGAACATAAAATTCGAGAGTTGTCGTTTTGGGGGATCCGTTTACACGTCGCAAAGTCCGATTCCGATTCCGTGTGTTGCATGTTGCAGCCTGAGGTGGTTGCTGCTCCACGGGGCGGCACCTTGACTGGTCTAGGGGCTTCTGGCATTCGGTCCCTTGAAGCCTCGTCTTATCTGAATGGGGATCCTGGCGCGCATGCTAGTATCGGGAATTGAGTTCCTGTGTCTTCGTGGGCAGGGCAGCAGCATAGTTTCTATACGCACGTTGGATCATGGTCAAAACTGTGTTTGCTGCATGTGAAGGCAAGTTCCTTGAACTGATGACTGTCTCTTCCTGGCTAGATGCAGCAGTAGCCCTTGAAAGTGCTGAAACATGTTGTACCGGCCGAGGATTGCTATGCAGAGGAGCCCGCTCAATCTCCAGGGCCAATCTCACGCAAAAGGGTGCGGCGGCCGTGCAGGACAAGATGCGCCGGAACGCGCTTCATGTGGCCTGCGGCTCCAACCTGGACGAAGGCGATGGCAGTCACATGGTAGTCACATCCTCTTTGCCCCAAAAGGCTTCCCCGGTTTCCCCGCTCCAGGACGTCGCGAGTTGGTCCGATTCCTTTGCCGCTGGGATGCTGACTTCTCAAGGACCGCAGTTGGCTTGCATTAGGAGTCAGCGACACAGCGGTGGTGGTCAAACGTCATGCGCAGAGGCTGAAGTCTTCGCGAGACTGCCGTGGGCGGCTACCCCAGGACCTTTACCTCTACCGACAAGGTAGCGAAGCTCACTTCTCTTGCTGTCGGTGAAGCGTATCTTTCGGAGGCGCACGAAGGGCTATCTATGGACTGGGCGAGGATTTTGCAACCCTCTGGGAGGCCCTTGGAGTCCCAAGTTGCCTTTTGACATCGCGCCCCCGGCACAGGCAGCACGCATCGGCGATCAGAATATGCTTCATACCTGCTTGCAGGCCAGGGACCTCTAGTGGGCACAAACGGCTACCCCTTGGTGCTAGCTTAGGCTGCCAGCCTTCAGGCTTGAATCAGGTCAGTCTTGCAGTGTAGCACACTTGTGTGCGAAGTGATAACTCATTGCTTTCATCAAATCACCGATCGGATCACGAGTGGATCTGCTGAATCCGATTGAATGCGATCCGCATGTACACATACCGTTGCCATTTTGGCTTAAGTTCTTCTTGAAACTTTTCTTCTGCTCTCCTCCGGGTTGCTGCAGTTTTCCTCGATTTTACGACGAGTGTCGTCATGGCTGCCTGCTCGACGATCGAACTCTTGGTTCGACTTCCTGCGGGAGGGGACGGTTTCTTCGCTCCCTCCTGGCATCGAAATACCGCCGAGCATGCTTGCGCAGTTCCCCGAGGAGGTGCAGGACCCGAGGATCCTCAGTGTCGCCGATGTTAATCGCGAAATTTGTCCCCGAATTTTGCAGTCGAAAAACTGCGACAAGATGACGAACTGTCCCTACCCACACCCTGACTTCATGTCCGGCAAGTGGGTTGTCCCCGATCTGATATGCCAGAAGTGGCTTCAGGGTGTCTGCCATCACGGCGGTCGGTGCTGCAATCAGCACGGCGGCAACTTCGACGATGCCATGCGCCGAGCCGTTCGAGCACAACAACAACTCCGACGAGATCGGCCGCCGTTTGCCTTCGACTCCGTCCCTCGATTCGGTGCTCCCCGATCCTCCTTCCGCCAAGGCGATGCGGGGGAAAGGGGTCGTACTGATGGGGGTTACACGGTTACACCGCACAACAAAACACGGGCTTTCTCCGGCCCAGAGATGGATCGATGCACCGACAGCAACACCGGTCAGCGTCGAGATGGACGAGACTCCTTCAGTCGTTCCTCCTCCGACTGTCACCCCACAAGTTCCTGACGATGAAGATCCTTGGAACCAATGCGACCAAGAAGTTCGACAAGCTCGAGATGCGCGAGGTCATGCCGATGATCCGTGGGGCTCCGAGCGGATCAACAGCGACATCCCCGAGACTTCGCGACCTGCTACACCGCCGCCTTCTCGGCCATCTCCCAGCCAGGTCGTGCCGGTGAAAGCTCGGCCCAAGGCGCCGGTTCACCTGAACCTCGACCCGTCTCCGAGCACTTCGTTCACAGTGACCGTTTCAGCGGAAGTTTTTTCTTAGCCCCGAAAACAATCCCCCCGGGCTTGTCCTGTCGCCTCGTGTCATGATGCCCCCGACCTCATCGAGTTTGCGTCCGACGACTTAATCCATGCCCCCGACTATCAGCTCGTATCCGCCTACTGAGAGGGCGCCGGCGGTACCTGCTCTCCCGAGGCCTTTGTCGATCGATGGTTTTCGACTCACTTGGCCGGAAACCTCGAGACCCAACAAGGGCCCAACAGCTCTGACCGAGGTGAGACGCGAGGCCCCTACCTCCGAGACTCCACAGTTCGGCTTCATGACGGACAGACGTTTCGATGGAGAACGAGTTCTACTTCTGAGCGTCCCGAACAATTTCAACGACCCACAGTTCTCGTTAGGCTCCGCAGTGTCAGAGTAGCGGGGCCTACTTTCTCCTTTGAGACTGTGTGGCTTCGGTAGTGCTCAAGCTTCAACACTTGTTTCCCCCCGACTTACCTCGAGTTGCCTCGACATCATGTCTTCTCGACAGGGAATGGACACCGATGAAATCGAACAGTACACCGCCACTCAGCCGATCAGTCAGGCTGACCGCATCAAGCAGTTCTCCGAGGTATCCTCGTCTGCAGGCCCGAAGGCCCTCGCCGGGTTCGTGACGACCGGCGCAGAGCCCCGCTCCGTGGAGGGTCGCACCGCAAAACAACGACATCGTCAATACGACGACGATATGGCACAGACGGCCGTCGAAGTCCTCGCTTTCAGGAAGGCCTCCGAGAAGATGGGCATCGCTCGACTTCGACAGCTCAACTCGGGAGCCACCGACGATGAACTCTTCGAGATTTGGAAACGCCATTTGTTTGGTCAGATAGTCGACGCCGAGGGCAATCCCATCCGCAGCGACGAGGCCGACCTCGTCGATAAAGAACACGAAGAGGGCAACAAACGTGTCATCGAGTACTGTGAATGCCTGGCCAACAATCCAAATTCGTCGATACACCTGAAGTCCCTCGATTGCACCTTCTGTGGCACTTGGTTCCCTCCACACTTCCTCCTGTCGATCAACCCGGTCGAGATCGAAGATTGGCGGAACACACACTATCGTTGTTGCTACAAGTGTGCTGCTTGCCACTCCGAAGATTTCATCTGGTACAGCGAATGTTCTTCACTTCGACCTGCCATCTTGCACAAGCCTGGTGCCGTAGGCGGTGAACGCTACGACAACTTCGACCGCCAAGGCTTGGAGGACTTCGATCACGATTGGGAACGGAAACCGAGTCAGTGGCACATCGCCGTCGACACGACCACCGGGGCGTACGCCAGGCTTTACTTCGATTCGGTTTGGGACTACCGCATGGACCGATGGGTCCGCAAGCCGCTTTTCCATATCAAAGACAAGGTGACCTCCGACATCAGTGTCTTCGAGTGGTGCCGTCTGTGCTCCAAGGTTTTGACCTTGCGCAAACAGCATGCCGAGGGGAAAGTCCGGGATCGCAACAGTTCCTGGAAGGCCATGAGCGAAAGGGTCCAACGTGAGCACCCCAACGCTTCGAGCAGCGAGGTCCGCCGAAAAGTTCGACAGCGAATTCTTCACCTCACCGATCGCTCTTGAATCAGGTCATTTTTGCAATTTCTATAATGCCAGGCAATACCTGAATATGCCTGATACAGAAGGCATCACGGGGCATCGCTCCCACTCTTTCGGAAAACGCACAAAAAATTCGCCAAGCAGTGCAGTGTCCACGGAGAGATCTGAGCAGTGCGAGCGGAAATCTCCAGCCACCACCTCTGGGGACCCTGACCTGCAGGCCTCTGCAAGAGTCGACGCTGTCAGCGCACGGCTGAGTGGTAGGAAAGCATGATGACAGTGAAGCCGTCGTGTTAGATCTCGCGATGGAAGGGGAAATTCAATGGCACATGAATTACTGGAAGCACGTGGGCTTTTGCGTTGTTATCCTCTTGTTTGCACATGCTTGGGTGGTCAAGGGGTCAGGGGGAGACTTAGATCATCGAGTGGTGCTCGTCCTTCGTGCGAGTGCACCTCCTCGATGTTCAGACTAGTGAACTGGCTTCTCTGCATGTCCACCGTTGTGCAGTGGTCATTTGTTTCCTGCTGTCGAGCTTTCTGAAATGTTCCTTTTCTGCTCACTGAGTCTTGCCACCTGAACACTTAATTGCCCGCCGATCAGCGAGGTCACGGCGGCTTCACGGCCGCAATGCATGCAGCCAGCAACGGGCACATGGATGTGCTGAGGTTTGCATGATTTTGTATCCCGGATGCCCACGAAATGCCCCAGTCTCCCCGACCAGAGCTAGCCTAGCAGCCTCGTGCAGGACACTTCTGTCACTGCGCTGCTCTTGTGGAGCAGCCGTGCCTGAGCTAGGACGGTTCTGGTGCACCTGGCACGTGCCAATGATGTGGGCTCTCGAAGATCCATGGCTATTGGTTCATTCGGGAGGAATGCCGGAGCGACCCGGCACGAAGTGGTGTGGCACGGCCCCCGTTCAAGTGTCAGGAGACTGAGTTTTCCTTGGTAGCTGTTTTCAGAACTCACAGCGGCAGGTAGCTCCTCCTCCTCCTCCTCCACCTAGGGAGTTTTACCCAGTTTGCTCGGCAAATTCACGTTCAGGCCGGACACCCCTCCATTTGGCCGCGGAGGCTCTGCAGCTTTTGGTCAGTTCTGTTTTGTTCGTAACGTCCAGTCCTTTTGAAACTTGAACAGGCTGGCCATGCTGACATTTGCAGCATGCTGGTTCGGGCCGGCGGTGCGCAGCTAGAGGCCTGGCACCGCAGTCGAAGCATTGCAGCCATCTTGATCAAGTCTGGTATGTCTCGCAACGGAAGGCTCGATCCAAAGTTGGTTGCAGCCTTAATGTTTCATCAGCGACACGGGCACAGGGTGCGTCAGCGCCGCATGTGTGCTTACCAAGCCTTCCCAAAACTAGGTCTTACACCTCTTCTGTCCGCTGCTGGAGCGGGGCAGCTGGCAAGTCTCAAGATCCTCGTGGAATTCAAAGCCGATCTAGAGGTGCAGCATCGTCGAAAGCTTTGAACCGAAGGCAGACCGGCTCACTTCTCGGTCCTGGGAGGTCGTGCAGGAAGCAGACGATGTGCGCAGAAACGTTTTCCACATCCTGGCAGCCGGGCGCTCTCTATGTTACCTTGTATTACCGTGTCAAAGTGCTAAAAGCAGACATGCAACGCTTCGTTCATGACACGGTCCTGGACTAGGGCAAGAGAACGGAGCAGCACTTTGCGTGCCTTCGTCCATTCCTCAGCCTTGATTCCCAAAACAGGCTGCGGCTAAGGCTTCACATGATGTTTCAGAATGTCGTGAATTTCTCAGGGTGGCTTCTGGATATCTTGCTCGCCGAGGACGAACTTAGTCTAGCAGTAGCAGCCACGCCTCAATGCTCTAGAGTTGTCAAAAGTCTTGTTTGTAGACCTGGGTGTCCAGATACGGACAGAAGCCGGACCCTTGAGGATCCCAAAAGGCTGCTGCAGATGCTGGAGCTGGAGGAGAGTCGGGAGTAGCCAGCCTTCAGACACGGAGAATGCTTGAACCTGTTGAAGGATTCAGATCTGAGACGGCCAGTTGACTTGGCCCAGCAGCACGCTCCTCAGCTTTTCACTTCCCGGTGGTGTGCATGGTCTTGCCGACCAACCCAAAAAGTTTGTGCGACTACTTTTGGCTAAGGCGAGGGCGCTCTCACCAGGCATGAATCATGATGTGCTTTCGTCGACAACTAGTCACAGGTGTGCCATGGCTGGGCATGATTGCTGTTTGCCTGCACGATGGACTTCCTCCCAGACAGCACTAGGCGAGTGAGCCTGGCGAGGCCTTGCTGAGAACTCTCCGGAAAAGCCGCGAAATGAGTGACGCTGTCCCAGACAAAGGCGCCTTTGGGAATCTTCGACAGGGAAGAGAGAGGTCCGGTTCACTGGCTCTCAATGGTCCTCTAGCAGTTTAACGTTGACATGCGTAGAGGTTATGCAGCCTTTCCAGCAACGAGCAGTCGAGTCTAGATTGCTCTAGCATGCAGTGCATGACGAGGCAAAGAGCCATGCAGAATATGAATCGATGAAGTGCACCACATGTCTGGCTATGGCAGTGCAACTTCTCATGCAAGCAACCGCGCATGGTCTCAAGCATGTAACGTAACGGTTGCAGCGCGACCATGGCAAGCACAGAACGGGTCAGATCGTCGAGATAGGTCCGGCAGTCTGCAGGTAACGGGAAGGCGCCAACTTTGCTTCCCGAACCACTGGTAGTTTAGCAGCCGCGGTCGCAGACACTGTTCCCCAGCAGTGTCAGCTCGTCGTAGTAGTGTCTTCTCCCGTGCACACACCCAAATGCCAAATACGCGACAGGTTCGGGGGCATCTACGCCTTCAAAGTAAAGGTGGTGCAGGCCACTCATTGGTTCCACATGTGTCCCGACCTGGGTATTGGGTCATCGACTGCCACACTGAGGCATGAAACTCCAGTTGCACGAGTTGCAGCCAAGATGTAAATACTATGTTTTTTTGGCAGGAAGCCGCTGGCCCTGTCACAGGCACCGTGGCCCAAGACATTTGTGGCTCAGCCTGGCCGTGACAAGTCTCGAACCGGAACCTCGTGGCCAGAACTGGACGTCGTATCCGATTTGAGCAAGCATAGTTGGACAGGTTCCTGTGGACGACGACAGCCCAGCCCAGAAACATACTTGGAGCCTCGAGTAGCGGTCGTGAGAGGGTCGGCTTTCCTGTGGACGATCTTCGCGAGGTCGCCATGCCTCACATGAGGCCACTGCGTCGTCATAATCGTGCCACATTGTGATTATGGCACGGGTAGGCATCGGTTAGAAGCTGTCTCGTTGCAGGCAGCATCAGATTCCGCAGGCTGTGCAGATCTTCCGAAGATCCCAAGTCCCAGCTTGAACCCAGCTAATGCAGTCCAAAGAAAGTGAGCCGTCAGGCGGGAGTCCGAAGCTATCCAAGCTGGGGATCATGGTTCAAGACCAGAGAAGAGAAGACTCTTGCACACCTGCTGCGTCTCAGCTTGTCAGAACCATGGTCCAGCCGCCACGAAGCGACGTGCGACTGCTTGGAGAAAAGTGTTGAGAGGGGACTGTTGTGAGGTGGAGTTTTTGTGTTAGTTTGGAGAGTGTGCTGTGGGTGTGTGTGTGTGCTTTTAGTTTGGAGAATGTGCTGTGCGTTGTGAAATGAAGAATGAGTAACTTGGAGTGTGTCGCCAGAGCCCACAAGTATTGTGGTGTTGAGCAGTGCAA